ATCCTCATTAATTTAGAATGTTTGTTAATTCATTGGATTTTATTTTACACATATTAGTAACATTATTAGAGGAGGAATATTTAAATGACTGAAGAATAGACTATTTTCAAGCACTTTCCAATATCTTGTTTTTTTAAATTGTGGTATGAACATTTACCATGAGATCTATCCTCTTAACAGATTTTTAAGTGTACAGTATAGTATTGTCATCCATAGGCACAATGTTGTATGTCAAGTCTCTAGAACTTACCCGTCTTGCATAACTGAAATTTCATACATGTTGATTAGCAACTCCCTATTTCCCCCTCCCCACTGGCAACCACCACTCTAGTCTTTGTTTCTATGAGTTTGACTCTTTTAAATTCCTCAATTAGGTGGAATCAGGTGGTATTTGAACTGTGATTAGCCTGTTTCATTTAGCATGTCTTCAAGGTTTATCCATGTTGTTGCATACTGCAGAATTTCTTCTTTAAGGATAAATAATATCCCATTGTATATATCCTATCTTCTTACTGTGTATCTGCCAGTGCATGCTGTTTCCACGTGCTGGCTATTGTGCATAGCACCACCCTGAGCATGGGAGTATTAACATCTCTACAAGCTCCTGGTTTCAGTGCTTATGGAAAGACACCTAGAAGTGGGACTGAGTCATATGGTACTTCTGGTTTCAATTTTTTGAGGGATCACTGTACTGCTTTCCTTCAGAGCTGCAGTATTTTGCATTCTCACCAACGGTGTATGAGGGCTCCAGTTTTACCACATCTTCACCAATATTTGTAGCATTTTTTTTAAAGTTTATTTTGAGAGAGAGAATGAGTGTGAACAGGGAGGGCAGAGGGACAGAGAGAGAGAGAGAATCCCAAGCAGGCTCCATGCTGTCAGTGCAGAGCCCAAGGTGGGGCTCCATCCAGTGAACCGTGACATCATGACCTGACCTGAAATCAAGAGTCAGATGCTTAACCTACTGAGCCATCTAGGTGCCCCACCTTTTTATTTATTTATTTTTTTTTATAATGACCCACCCTAAAGGTATGAAGTGACATTTCATTGTGGTTTTAATTTTCATTTTCTTGATTAGTGACATTGAACATCTTTTCATAAATCCATTGGCCATTTGTGTATCTTCTTTATCTGTTCAGATCTTTAGCCAGTTTACTAATTGGATCACTAGGTGTTTTTTTTGTTTTGTTTTTTTTTTTGTTTTTGTTTTTGCTTTTGACTTGTAGGGGTTTCTTATATATTTTGGAAATTAACCCTTTATCAAATATATAGTTTGCAAAGTTGGCAAATATTCTCTCCCATTCTGTAGGTTGACTTTTCGCTATATCGGTTGTTTCTTTTCTTGTATAGAAGCTTTTTACTTTGACGTGGGTCCCACTTGTCTATTTTTGCTTTTGTTGCCTGTGCTTTTGGTGTCATATCCATGAAATCATTGCCAAAACCAATGTCTGAGGCTTTTGCAAGTATTTAAGTCTTTAATATATTTTAAATTGATTTTTGTGTATGGAATGAGATAAAGATCCACTTTCATTCTTGTACATGTGGATATTCAGTTTTTCCAGTGCCGTTTGTTGAAGAGGTTTTCTCCTTTGTGTATTCCTGGCACCCCTGCCAAAGGTCAGTTGACCTTATATACATAGATTTCTGGGTTCTCCATTTGGTTTCATTGGTCCATATGGCTATCTTTATGCCAGTGTCATACTGTTTTAGTTACAAAAAGACCCCAATACCAAGAACAATCTTGAAAAAGAATAAAGCTAATCATACTTTCTGATTTCAAAATGCATTACAATAATATATATTATGAAGCTAAAGCATCTTCCAGTATCTTAAAGTATAACTTTACTCTTATGAAAAACTGTTGTAATGAGTTCCAGTTAGTACTGGGATAATGGAGGCTGCCTAAATCGTAATCTCTCTACATGTCCTCACCAAAAAAACTGTTAATTCAAAAAGGAGCACATGTAAACCATTCATGAAGTTATTCTTTTAGCATTAGTAGGAGACCAATATACCACCAACCTCAAATTTTCTATAAGCAAAGAAATAGACAGCAAAATTAAGAGTTCCTGTTGCTGCTGCAAGCAGGGAAAGTGGGGAGGGTTCTGGAGGAGGAGTTAAAGGGAGGAACTGAGATGTCCCTCTTATACCTAGAGGTGAAGAAATAGAAGAAAGTAAGGGGCAGGGGAATCAATGGGGGTTTAATATCCTGGAGAAATGAAAGAGAACCAGAAAGATACCAATTGCTCCTTATTACCCTAGTAAGTCAACATCATCCACTACATAAACTGAACTTCATTCTGCTAGCAGGAGGCATACTCTCAAATTAGGATCCCTGTCCATGAAATGCCTAGCAGTAGGCATTTCACAAATAAATAATAAAATACAAGGTGTCCAAGGGAGAACATATTGAAATAAAAATATAGAAGAGTCATTGAATTTCAAAGAAGAATTTAAATGAGTTAAAGACATCGAAAGGGTCAAAGAAAAAGTGGTTGAAAGGGAAGATAGGCAAAGGAGATCTGACATATAATTGGCATCTCTAAAGAAAAGCAAAATATTTGGACTAAACAGATACTATTCTAAGAAAAATGTCCAGAAATAAGAAAGCTGAAATCTATGTATCAAAAAGGCCCACCGTGTCCCTGGGAAAATTGACTCAAAATGCTTAAACTGAAGACATATCATAGTAAAACGATTAGATCTTAAAGACAAAGAAAATTTCCTCGAAACCTCAAGCAAAAAGGACAAAGTATGTAATGGCTCAGAAAATTAGTTTGGCATCATACTTCTCAGGAGTAGCCTGTTAAGCAAGAAACTCAAAGAAAGTGTGAGCCAGAGGTGTTACATCAAGCTGTTCTTCATATCAAGGCTGGGGAAAAACAGTGTAAAGCATGCTAGAACTTAGGAAATACTGTGCCCAGAGAATGTACTAGAGCGGTGGTTCTCAAAGTGTGGTTCCCAGACCAGAAACATCAGAATCACCTGGGAACTTAGAAATACATATTCTCAGGCCTACCCCAGGCCTGCTGAATCAGAAGCTTTGGGGTGAGGTACATCAATTTGTGTTTTCTCAAGTCCTATAGGTCATTGTGATCACAGTCCCCAAAAGAATGAACTTCTTCCAGCCAAGAGATGATTGAGAACACTTTGGCAGAGGATGAAGAGCAAGCATTTAATTTTATCAATTGTATATATAAGTCTTAGATATGGACAGAGTCATGACTGGAATAACAGTGTGTAAAGCATTGTATATAGGACCAAAATAGAGCACAACTAAGAAATGAGAGAATAAAAGAAAGGCAAAAGTAGAATAATATGATTAATTGTTATATAGGTAAGAGGTGGAATTCAGAGGATACCATTTAATTTTTTTTTTAAATTTATTTATTTTTGAGAGAGAGAGATAGAGCTCCCCACTGTCACAGATCCTGTGAGAAGGAGACACAGAATCTGAAGCAGGCTCCAGGCTCTGAGCAAGCATTCAGCACAGCCCGACGTGGGGCTTGAACTCACGAACCGTGAGATCATGACCTGAGCTGAAGTCGGACACTTAACTGACTGAGCCATCCAGGTGCCCCCAGAGGATACCATTTAAACCTGACAAAAAAAGAAAAACCTGACAAACAAAATAGTAAAAGATTAAGGAAGAAAAAAAAAAAAGAGGATTAAGACATAATGGCAAAAGTAACCAGTAGAATAATTCAACTAAATGCAATATATGATTCTGTGCCAGAAAGAATTACTGAGAGAACTTTGTTGGTACAGTTGATGAAATTGGAATATGGAATATGAATTAAAGTATTGCACCAATATTAAACTGAGTTTAATAACCATAATGTGAACATTCAAGGACCTCTTCTTGTTCCTAGAGAATACATCCTAACTTCAGGGTAAAGTGGTATGATATATGTCACCTACTCTCAGTTCATAAAAAGTGCTAAACATTTGAGCAAGAAAAGGCAAACATGGCAAAATGTTAATAATTGGTAAGTCTGGAAAGGATATATAGGAGGATTTATTTTTTGGTACTATTCTTGGAAATTTAATTTGTTTTAAATTATTCCAAAATAAAAAGTTTAAAAAATTATATGTCAGTCATTCCTAATTAAATTATTTAGATTACTTCAGTTCTCTGTTTCATAGATTTATTGTGTTTATTTGAAGGGAACAACTTTTTATTTCTTTTAAATATCCTATACTTCAGGGTATCTGGGTGGCTTAGTGAGTTAAGTGTCTGACTGTTGATTTCGGCTCAGGTCGTGATCTCATGGTCTGTGATCCAGCCTTGTGTTAGGCTCTACACTCACATCGCATGGAGCCTGCCTGGAATTTGTTTTCTCTCCTTCTCCTGCCTCTCCTGTGTGTGCATGTATGCACTCTCTTTCTCTCTCTCTCAAAGTAAATAAGCTTTATTTTAAAAATCGTATACTTGAGACCTTGATAATACGTATTAGTCATGTCAGTAAATTTGAGCTTAATGGATTGTATTAGAATTTCACCAGTCATGCTGAAAACTGCTAGATATAAAAGTATAGTTTGATACTAAATTTAAAAGATTGGAATGGCTTTATACCTTAAAGTATTTAAAAATGTGATTACTATTTATGTATACGGTATGATTTGAAGACAAGAGGTAAAAATTCATTTGATTGTTTATATTTTTTCATCTCATAATTCTGGGATCATTTGCTATAAACCTCAAGAGGACAAGGCAGAAAACGTTTTGCATTGAATACTTAAGCTTTTCACTTTGTACTGCTTAGTCCAAACAAAATATCCAGCAAATAAGTCTAGTTGTTTTTTAGTTGTTTTTTAAATATACTAAAACTCAGAGTATTAATGTGAATTAACTCAGGGTGGAAATGGTAAAGATGAGTACAAGTGATATGTCCTTGTTTTAAAAAATTCATTTAAAAAATTCATTTAAAGTGGTTGAGTTAACCACTTTAACTCAACTTTTAAAATCATAGTGAAGTACTTTGTTTTTCTTCTTAAAGATATGGATGTAATGAGGCCCTTAATAAATGAGCAGAATTTTGATGGGACATCAGATGAAGAGCATGAGCAGGAGCTGCTGCCTGTTCAGAAGCACTACCAGCTAGATGGCCAAGAGGGTATTTCGTAAGTGTTACGGTTATATGTGTCCTTTTCTTTTCCTTTAATATCTATTTTGTAATCTATAGGTAAGGCACTTTTCTAGATACTACAGAAGACACACGATGAGTCAGATATTGTCCCTACCCTCAAGGTGTTTATGGTCTGCTTGGGAAAGAAGAAATACACCTAAAATACAGAGCTGTGTGTGGGAACTGCTGCAGTTGATGTGGATTGCTGCAGTACTTATTAAATGCTATACATCCTGCAAGAAAAGAGAGCCAGTTGAAAAGTATAGAAATTTTAAGAGCATCGGCTTCTGAAGTGGTTAGGAGTTAGGAGTTAGACGGTGGGAGGTAGTAAACACTTGTTTATGCTGAGTTAATGATGTGAAACAAAGTCATGGTGGTAGGAAAGCAGTGGAACCTTTTAGAACCCTTTCTGTTATTTTGTCAACATTGATAGATTTGAGTAAGTTCTTACTCTAATAGTAATTTAACTGCTAGGCAAAGTTACATTTTAATTGATCAGAAAAGAACAGTATAAACTAAAAAAAATTTAGATAAGCATGTTTGGGTTTTTCTATAAGTTTAAAATTTGGACTATTCTTCCTAGTTTATTTTCTGTTGGTCAAGAGACTTCCTTCAAATGCTTCCTGGAAACTTAGGTGAAATTCCTTAGGGAGTACCCAGTGTCTAAATGTTAGTTAGTATTTATCTTAACTGATGATACACATGGTTTTAAAACTTGTGTGATTTTTCTTTTAATTAACTCCTTGTTAGGTTGATAATCATAGGTCCCGTGTGTTTAGTACCATGATGACAGTAGACAGTGTCAATAAATTGCTTTTTTTTATCAGCCTAGCCCTGTATAACCTTCAGCATTTGTTCTTTTTAAAAAAAATTTTTAACATTTATTTATTTTTGAGAGAGAGAGACAGGTGGGGGAGGGGCAGGAGAGAATGAGACATAGAATCCGAAGCACACTCCGGGCTCCGAGCTGTCAGCACAGAGCCAGATGTGGGGCTCCACTCACAAACCATGACATCATGACCTGAGCCAAAGTGGGACACTTAACTGACTGAGTCCCGCAGTCACCTCTATCTTCAGCATTGTTCTGAATGTCATAACAGCAAAGAATCTTAGGAGAAAATTACCTTTTCTGTATTTAATATGTACAAAAATACTTTCACTTAAATATCTAATTTAATCTCCATAATAATCCTCTGTGTTCTGCTTTTAAATGGCAAAGATTGAACTTGAACCAAATATGGTGTCTGGTCAATTCAACTTCTGGTTGTGTGGAAGTGCTATTTGATGCTTTGTCTAGATTAATTTTCAGTTCCCTTCTAATGCTAACACCATGATCATGTGATTTTTATTAGCTTTTTTCCTAAAATGTTTAAATCTTACAACTTTTACTTTTCAGGTTTGTGCAAACTCTTATGCATCTTCTTAAAGGAAATATTGGAACTGGACTTTTGGGGCTTCCATTGGCCATAAAAAATGCAGGCATAGTGGTAAGACTTTGCTTTGTAACCTCTAGCTAAATTACAGCCATCAGTCCTGATTACAGCAGAAATTGCAGGCTAATTTTTGGCCTAGTTACATATAACCTGATCAGGTGGCAGTGAGATTGTATTGATAAGATTGGGTGAACAGTGATGGTAACATTTAATAAAAAACAAGAATTAATTATTCTTTTAATTTCTGCTTAGTTATATATTTATGATACTTGACAGAAAGATCCTAAAATAGTGTTTGATTTTTCCAAGTATGGTTATATCTTGTTATTCCTTTGGATTTTTCAGAGATTTAAGCGATGTACTCCTATTGAGAGATGTATTTATAGAGTAGCTTATATTATATTGGTGAAATTTTATAGTTTTAAAAATTCAGAATGAAATGTAGTTTTCAGATATAAAGAGTAATAGTTAAGAAAAGGAATAACTATCTTTTGAAAACAAATATTGTTATAACCAATTACTGTAATTGCAGAGAATCTAGATAAGGGAGAATTCACTTACAAAGTAATGAAATTATATTTAACCTTTTTTCAGAGGTTTAAAACTTTACCGGCTTTCTAAGAATAGTGTTAATTATCACCTTTCCCTGCATTTGACTTTGCCCACCCTAATTTAGAGAAATGTAAACATTTCTGATTATAAAAATAAATTTTGACAGTATTTTGTCAGGGTCTCAATAATCCAGGCATTACTTTGATTTTAGCAAACAAATACTTGTAATTTTTTTATACACCACTTTTTCAAATCCTCTTTCTCTCGGCCTACCTCCCCCCATGAAGTAAGTGCTCAGCAAGCACCGCCCCAGATCGGCACAGTGCTTTTTAGTCATTCTGATATGATTCCTAGTCACATTTAATCATAACTGTGGGACTGCTGGTCACAGACTTGCTGTCCGAGGTGATGTGATGTTGTGTGCTGCCCTAGCATATTGCAGAGCTACACTCTGTACTCATGGGTTTGGATAGGCAGGCTGATGAGATGGAGTCCTGTGTCCTTAAGTATTGCTGAAATTCTTTCAGAATGAAGTTTATGAATTTTCCTTTATGCAAATGACTAATCATTTTGTCTAACAAATTGGTTCCCACAAAAGAGTAGTCCATTGTCTCATTGCTTATAAGGCAATTTAGTTTTTGTTAAACTTAAATATTTAAACCTTATACATTTTCCCCCTACAGCTTGGACCAATCAGCCTTGTGTTTATAGGAATTATTTCTGTTCACTGTATGCACATTTTGGTACGGTGCAGTCACTTTCTGTGTCAGAGGTAAATGTGAATTTGTTAAGTGTATTTTATTTATTTTAAAGCTATGTATTTATTTGAAAAGATAGTCTTATTTGTGCTTTACAACTAATAACTGCATTTCCTCTAATCTGTTGTATAGAGAAGTCTACAATAATAAATATGGAAAAAGATAATATTTCTTGTGATTTGGTCAGAATATATTTGTTCCTCTTAAAAGATAACCTTAGTAGTGAAATGGAATATGTAAATATATATAAAAATATTTAAAAAAATCAGGAAACACCTGGGAAGAATGGAGGCAGCAGCACTACTTTCAGTTACAGAGTAATGGTCTTTAATTTGTTAGGAATTCATTTTAGGATATAGTGCCTTTGGTGTTCTTTGCTGATATGTGGGTTGGTAAATAGTCAATAAAACAATATTTTTTTTCTTTAGTTTTGTATCATGAAATGCTTCCACTGTACAATGGACTAACTTTAAAAAAATAAATATTGCCTATTCTAGTAAACTAATATTCTAAAATTAAGCCTTTTTGCTGTTGTTTTTAAATGCTCTTAAAACTTTGGGCAAGTCATTTATTAAATAATAATGATACTTGAAAAAAAGTGGGAAAGAAAACATGGGGAAATGAGAGCTACCTTATGGGGCTAAGGATTAGATAAGATAGTTTATGTGTAAATACGCTGTAAAGCCCTGTGCAGATGCATAAAATAATGCTCTTCTAAGAATGAATAAGGTAGGCATGAACAATGTAGTTGATGTTTTTACATAATTGAAATAGTTAAATATATAAATCAATGAAGCATAAATATTTATGTCATATGACTTCTCCAAATATATAAACTTTAATGGTAGATAAAAACTAATATATTAGTAAAAAGAACAGATTTAAAATTTCATGAGACATATCTTAAAGCACACAGGTCTTGAAAATCTCAAAAACTCCTCTGTCAGTGTATACCCTTGCATTTATTTTTTTCCTACTTATTTGATGTTCTTTTCAAGGGGTGGATTTATGGACCAACTTAAAATTTGCCTTTTTCATCTGTAGTATGTCCTTAAATTACAGGTTTAAAAAGTCAACTTTAGGTTATAGTGACACTGTGAGTTTTGCTATGGAAGTAAGTCCTTGGAATTGTCTTCAGAAGCAGGCAGCCTGGGGACGGTAAGCACTTGCTATGTTTCTAATATCTAGTTATTGAAATCACATTACTTTTCAAGTATTTTAATTTGACAAGATACATGAACAGAAGCATGATAAAGCTGGGGGAATAAACATAATCTTTAGAGTTAGACAATTCGGGTTCAAATCTCAACTCTACTGTTTTTCAGTTTTATGACCCGATTCAAATGACTTATTTTCTTTTAGTTTTCTTGTTATCAAATGAGTTTATGGTGATACTTACTTCACAGAATTATCATAGTATTTTAAATAAAGTGATAATTATAAAGCATCTGTCTAATCTATGATATAATCATGTTAATATTTTTTTAAGGAAAGGAGAAAAAGCAAGAAAAATGTTTCAGTCTCTTTATTTTAGATAAAATTGTGGTGTTTGGCTTACATGCTCATAGGACATTTGAAGTGTGTATTTTAGAACAATCTTATTTTACTATCTTATCATTTAAATGTAGCTTTATCATTGATAGACATGGCTGATCAAAGCCAGATGAAGACAGGACTGGAAAAATAGGCATAGGTAATCAACAAAATGCTGGCAGTGGTATGTGCTGTGGAAATTAAAAGAAGGAAAAGAACAGTGCTAGTAGAGTTTATGGTTAAATATGGCCTTTCTGGGGATTTTCAGGAAGTTCCATTTATTTATGAGCTTCTCAGAGTTCTTGATATGCCAAGTAGAAGAAGGAGGAAGACAACCTAAAGCCCTAGGATTTGCCCCCAGAACCCTACCTTCTTCCTTTTTCTGCCCCAGAATAGAGGCAGCTTTGTATATTTTTTCTGTCAAGAAGAATGACTTTCAGGTAGATGTGGCTGGAATGATTGTTGGTAAGATACTAAAATCAAAGGTTAATGAAAAGATCTTAAGGGAATACTTAAATGTATGTATTTCATCAGAAAGAAGAAACTTGAATTCATTTCAGGGTACTAAGATTCTTTACAATAAGCAGATCCCTGAAGAACCATGAGAGCTATAGTTATGGCAAGAATGAAAATAGGCAAGGACCCTTCCAGTTTCAAATGAGAGAAGGAAGCCCTGTAGATATGTAGGCCAGATTGTTTGACAGCTTGAGAATGATTGTCAAGCAAAGACTGTAATGAATTAATAGATGACTGCTGTTGTAATCACTCATCATTCCCTGGACAAAATGGAGAAGAATGGGCTGCATATTAATAATATGTAGGCAGATTTATAAATCAATTAACCACAGTACCCAAACTATGCAAATTTGGTGACATCCCTTTCCCTCTTCTGTACACTGTTTTATGTAGCTGGAAGTCTCTTTTTTTAAATGTTTATTTATTTTGAGAGAGAGAGAGAGAGTGAGTGGGAGAGGGAGAGGAACAGAGAGAGGGAAAGAGAGAATCTCAAGCAGGTTCTGCCACTGTCAGTGCGGAGCCCGATGCAGAGCTCCATCTCACGAACTCTGAGATCATGACCTGAGCCGAAATCAGGAGTCAAACACTTAACTGATTGAGCCACCCAGGGGCCATTGTGGCTGGAATTTTCTTAAGGACCTCATTAAGAGATACTACTGAAGCTTACTCAGAGCTAAGCTACTGGAGAAGTCTTTGGTCTTATGATTTAGGGCCACACCCCCAGCGCTCTCTCATTTCATGTTCTTATTAGTGATTTGGATAGTGGAGAGCATGCTCACTCATCATATTTGCAAATGACATGAAGCCAAGAGAGCTGGGAACCACACTGGGTTAATCAGAAAAAGAACTCAGGAAGTAGGGGAGATGGGCTTAATCTAAAAGATGAAATGTTTTCATGAAATCATTTTATAAGCAGATGCCCAGACTGTTGAATTTCAGAAATAAATGATAGGGAAATTTTGGCCTTTTCACTGAATGGAACATCATTTTGCTGAGTAATACTTCACTAGTTCACATACTAATAATAAATGTGTGATCTTTGTAGAAAAATAAATTTTATTTACTAATTTTAAGGAAGTGAAAAGAATATAAGCTATGATAAAATGTTTTAAAATAGTTTAAAAAGAGAAAACATATATTAATATATCCTTAGCTCTTATCAATACTTATTTGTGGGTGTCTCTTTTCAGGAGTGTGGTTGACTTTTTCCTGGTGATAACCCAGCTGGGATTCTGTAGTGTTTATATTGTCTTCTTAGCTGAAAATGTAAAACAAGTAAGTATTTCTCTCCAGTTATGGACATCAGTTTCTTCCCATTCCATAGTTTTGGCATCATATTTCCTTTGAGTAAGCCATGGTTGAATATGAAAATGTGTTTCTTTCATAAAGCATGTTCCTTTGTAAATTTTCCTTTAGTCTTATTTTTTGTAAGTTGGATTTTCTGCTACTGTTTTCTGCTACTATTGTTGATGTTACTTTTCTTGACATTATATATCAATAGTGTTTGTTCTGTCAGATCAGAACTGGACATAATTTAACTGATTCTTACATATTTGAAATTTAGATCTCAAAATCAGATAAGCAGGTGTTTTGGGAGCATATTTTTAAATTAATTTTTTATAAGTAAATGTATATGGTTTAGCCAGCAACCTAAAAAGTGAAGTAAAGTGTGGGCATTACTAAAATCCAGTAATTATTGGTATTGTCTAAAAAGATACCATGTCCAAAATGTGTAGTGTTCTGTAATTCTCTCCATATTTTAAGGGTTCGCTTTAAAAGGAAGTGGTTTGCAGTCTTGGTAGAGACTGACTATCAACTTGAACAAACATGCAAAGCACTGAAATAAAAAAGCTCCCCTATGAAAACAAAGCCAGAACACATTTCTTTATGCACTTTAACTTGTAACTAGTACATTACACCTTGTTCTGCTTTAATCATTATTTAATCAATAACATTTATTAACTGTCCATATGTGCATTGTACAATAGTAGACATCTTACAGAGTAAGACATAGTGCTTGTAGGTATTTTAATGCAAAAATAATAATGTGAATATGTTTCTAAAGAATCTATATGTAGATATATAAGTATATCTTTGACTCACTTTTTTAAATATAAAGTATGCTTCATTTTACGTTTAGACCAGGAATGACAAATTTTCTGGAAAAGGCCAGATAATAAGTATTTCCAGTTTTGCAGGCCATATGGTCTTTTTGACTTTGCCATAGAAAATAATGATATTAGTGTATATATATGGCAATATTCCAATAAAACTTTATTTGAAGAATTTAGGTGTTAGGCTGGATTTGGTGTATGGGCCATAATTTCCTAAAGCCCCTAGCTTAGATTTTTAATGTTGGAAAGGCTCACTGAGTCAACCTTTCCTTATAAATAAGAGAGTTGATGCTTTTGTTAGCATTAATCGTTATAGACAATGTGCTTTTGACTTACAAGTACTTAATTCCACAAGTTGCATGTTCTTTTGATTACTAACTCAGTCAAGAGACTCTGTTGTCAAGAACTGGTAAGACATACCATCTTACCAGTCATTTACATAAAATATGATGGAAATGATCCTTTTCCAGGATTGTACAACATGATAGTAACGTATCTCTTCTAGTATGTCCTAGGAGAGGCACCAACAAACTTGATTTGAATTTATGAATAATGCCAACAATGCCTTATAATCATGTATTAATAAAGTGTGACATTTTTCATTTAGTTTTTACCGCTACTCTGTAATATACAACACTCATTTTTTGAATGTGTAAACTGAATCTCACAAAGGATGAGCAGTGTGCCCTAGGTCATGTGGATTAAACTGAGACCTAGGTCTCTCTGTGACACACTGCTGCCGCCAGTTACATTAGTTGTTCATCACTGGACAGGACCTTGTCTGATTTTAGTTGTGTATGTGTGTGCATATGACATAGAGGATATAAATGCATACAATAAATGTCTATAAGCTTAGGGTTGGTGACTTTCTCCTATGAAATATTATCAGTTGCTTCCAGAATTGAATGGAAGAAATCAACTCATTTGCACATGTTCTAAGGAGACCAGGTAGAACAAGTGACTCTCTGGGAGGAGAATGCCTGCCAAAGATGCAACAGTGAAAGTCCTTTTGAGTCGTAAAAAGCAACATGGTAAAAGACATGCAGACTTGAGAAAAGTTGAAAGCCATGGTGAACACCTCCCCTTTGCAGAGCAGACAGATGGTCATTGAAACAGTAGCATCAGAGATTTTCACGCTCTGCACACCTGTTCTCTCACACTTTATAGCAGTCTCCCATAATAGACACTGTTTGATTATAGCTTTACCAGTTGCTACTACTGTTAAAAACTGTAAGTTTATTACCACATGAACTACATGAAATCAAAGGTGCAATATGTTATCAGATCAAAGAAGTAAGGGTTTAGCTGCCATACAGATGTGTGAACCTCCTCCTCTGTAACTGCCACAGGACTATTTCTGCTCCCTGCAAGTCACTGTGGACAGTTGGCAGGAGAAAATGGATGGATAGTACCTCCAGTGATTCTAATCCATCATGGCTATAGTAGCTCCCCTCTGTTCCTACTCGAAGATGCTCTAGAAACTTTCAGATAGATAAAGTAGTGTTTACGGGCATGAAGAGGGGGGAAGGGATATGATATTAAGAGAAAAAAGATATAGTGATACTTAAGACCCTGGATTTTAAAGACAGACGATCCAAATTCAAATTGCTTCTCTCTCAGTTTTAAATCACACACTGGGCAAGATCTCCTTATCCCCGCGCAAGCCTTAGTTTCCTTATATGTAAAATGGGAATAATAACAAAATCTCCCATTGTTACTCCTAAACTTATCATGAGGCTCAGCTGACAAAAAGTTTGTGAAAGCCTTTGCAAAATGTAAGCAGTATACAAATATAGGGTGTTAAGGCTTTTTAATTTTGTATTTATTTTAGCTCTGCTGAATATAATCTACCTTTGGAATTTTAACCATTAAATTTCTGAATCATTGAAAATTAATAAGTAGTAGACTTTAGTAAATTGAAGCTTTAAATGGAAACAACTGAATTTAGTAATTTTATTTTATAATATTTATTTCAGTGTTTTGCATTTTGGTAAACATGTGAGATCATAGGAAGTCCTATTAGATAGCCAATATCTGTCTCTAGAGGGCACCAAAGGACTCAAATGTTTACCTGAATCTTGCTCTGGGTATGTATCTACACTTTATTTTATTTTATTTTTTTAATCCTGACAATTTTTATAACCATTTTTCTGCCAAAGAATACTAAATTTTATGAAATATTTGTGATAGAATTAATTTCATGTTCCCAACCATCTCACCATTCAAAAACCCTTTTTAAAATTGGTTGTATAACTGGTTTTCTCTTGCCAGGTATCCTTGTTAGAGCTTAATGTTGATCATTATCTAATCTGATTATTGGCAGTATTCTGTATTCTTTGATACAGAGGCATTTGGCTATAAATAATTGTGTTATTGGGAAAATGAGTCAACAAATAAAATGTATTTTTAAAAGCCAACTAATGTGAATTACCAATTTTGCTTCTAATTTCAAATTCTAAAACACAAAGTTTTGGGGGCACCTGGGTGGCTCAGTTGGTTGAGCGACTGACTTTGGCTTGGGTCATGATTTCATGGTCCGTGGGTTTGAGCCCTGCGTTGGGCTCTGTGCTGACAGCTCAGAGCCAGGACCCTGTTTTGGGTTCTGTGTCTCCCTCTCTCTCTGCTCCTTCCCTGTTTGCACTCTGTCTCTCTCTCAAAAAAACAAATAAACATTAAAATACAAAGTCTTGATGGCCAGTTACAAGATGTATGCATTTCTTAAATGGTTCATGGTATAACCTGAGAGTTTGTTAGTCCAGTACGACTTACAGATTGCCTATCAAAGTTAAAACTAGTAAATACATTGCCTGCAGTTTAAGATGATGTGTATATTTGTAGTGATACTAAACATTGTTTATCACAGGTAGAAGTATAAAATTAAACACTTGAATTGCTAATCATTATAATTTTGTTCTAGACTTTTGACTTATGGACCTCTTAATACTTATTATATTTAGAGAGAGAGATGTAGAAGGCAAGGAGCTAATTGGGCAAGGCCCCCTTTCCAAATTGAAGTGTTTTGATCCAGTTAACACACAGTGGTCACAAGCTAAATTCTAGTGTCTCCCACCTGTGTTTGGATCCTAGAACTACCACTTACTGGCTTGATATTATGTAAGTTTGTTTTTTAGACCCTCCCTTAAACCTCAACTATAGTTTAACTTAAAGTTCCTCAACTATAAGTTAATATTAATACTACCATCCATCTCAGACAGTTGTTTTGAGGATTAGATGAGATGTTGTATATATTTAATTCAGTACTCAAAATATGCTTCCTATTGTTATTATAGGATCTTGTTCTTAAGAATTTATGTATCTAGAGACTTGATAATGTCATTGTGTTCAAATGGGAGGTACAGTGTTTGTGGGCAAATAGATTTTCCCTATTATTTAAATTATAATATTATATACCTCTGCTGTGAGTTTTTAAGAGTGTTTTTAGAGTCCTCCATAATGTTATTTTTGTTTTAGTAAGTTGTGTTATGTGATTAATTGAATAAGACAATTTTTAATATGTGGAAACTATAAATTATTGTATCTATCTTGAACACTGAATGTTGGTTTATAGAAGTGGTGGGATTAAAATTGATTCATTGAAGTTTTTTGCTCTAGCAAAAATTTATCTACATCTAGCACATGGCCATGCATAAATTTAGTGGATTTTTAATACTTATTGGTAGTAGTGGTTGTTTATTTATTTATTTAAAAGATTTTATTTTTAAGTAATCTCTACACTGAACATGGAACTTGAACCCAACCCCAGGATCAAGAGTCGTGTGCTCTAACTGCCTGAGCCAGCCAGGAGCCCCTTTGATATTGATGATAATTTATAAAGTTGTTTTATAAAACAGCTTTAAAGTTAGGCCATGATTTCTAAGCTTTATTTTGACTACTGTGCATGTCTAAGAGGTACTTAGAGCTTGTTTCCTCCTCTGAAGAGAGTAAGTCAGAGTAGGATATCTGGAGTAGAATATGGTCCTCCTAGGCAAGTATGTCTCCACTTTTGATTATCACAGAGGCAAAATGAGACTTTGCTGGAAGCATGAGCACAAAGCTTCAAAATACGTTGGTAAATTCATCCTCATAATTTTCTAGTGAACTTTCTTTTTACAGTATGATAAAAGAAGTTCTTTTGCAAAGAAGAATTGTCCTATTTTAATTATCCTTAAATTAGATGAATATGTATTTCTAGGAAGCTAGAATATCTTGAAAAAATATAAACATTTTATTTATTGTAAAGGAATCATCATAGAGTGTATAGATAGTTAATTTTCTTTATATTTTGTTACTTATAAGTTGATGAAAGTTTTTTCTCCCCCTCTTCCTTATTCTCCTGGTAATCCTGTATAGGTTCATGAAGGATTCCTGGAGAGTAAAGTGTTCCTTTTGAATAGTACCAATTCATCAAATCCATGTGAGAGAAGAAGTATTGACCTAAGGATATATATGCTTTGCTTTCTTCCATTTATAATTCTTTTGGTCTTCATTCGTGAGCTAAAGAATCTATTTGTGCTTTCATTCCTCGCCAACCTTTCCATGGCTGTCAGTCTTGTGATAATATATCAGTATGTTGTTAGGGTAAGTATAACATGTTTTTAACCTATGTTTCTTAGTAACTCATTCTTTGTTTACATTGGACGTAAAAGTAATGGCATGTAAAGACCCCCACTTCATTATGAGGCACACAGGAGACAGTCTGCAAACGGGCGTCCTGCTCAGCTGGAGCACCCAGGCTTTGTGTTCAGGCCTGGCTTTGAATCTTGCTAAATCTGCTTCTGGGCTCTCTGACATTGCTGCAGAAGATAGTCACGTCTACTCTATTGAGCTGTAAGCTTTAGGAGTGCCTCAGTAAACTGCGTAACATTGCAAGATTTGAACCAGTCTAGAGGTGTAATTTTATAATTTTCTTTCACCTCTGAACCACTTCCAGTCACTGCCAGTCTACTAATCTGTAACCTCTCTCTCTGAAGTATGCAACCTCAGCTGATTTAATCGTCCGAAGTCAGGGGATCCTAACCCTATAAAGAATATTCTTTTAAAAAAAAATTGGCTGATGGGATTCAGGGGATCTGCCAATCCCTTAAAATGATTTGTAAGATTTAGTGTTTCTGTATGTATATATGCATTCTTCTACTGAGCAGTGTATAGCTTTCATCTCTAAAAGGGGCCGAGGACTCAGAAAGGGTCAAGAATCCCTGCTCTATTCTTTCCTGATCCAGTCCATCTTGTATATTACTATTACAATTGTCCTAAAACCTCCATTGGCAATTTATTACAAACTCTGTTATGATGGGTGTGTTTCATTCCCCCCGCCCTGAATTGTAAAACCTGTAGACATTTTCCTGTTGCCTGTAAGATGGAAGAGGACAGGCAAGAACATCTCATAAGGCTTTCTGTAGTTCATGACCCCTTACCTGAGCATGTAAGAACTAGTGGAGCAGGAAAGGAAGTTCCTTAGGTAGAGGGAAGAGTGTGAGCCTTTTTTTTTTTTTTTTAATTTTTAACATTTATTCATTTTTGAGAGAGAGGGAGAATACCAGTTAGGTATTCTCAAATGACCGAAAACTTAAATACCCTTTTCATTTTGACCATAACTTGTATTTTCCATCATGTATCACCGTTACGTTGCACAAGTCTCCCTACGCTTCAGATGTTCTAGACCTCTTTATTACCCACATTATCCATATGCTTTTTACACTTCAGTTTCTTTTTTCATCCTCTTTTCTTGGCCTTGAATTCGATTTCACATTAAGGAGGGCAGAGAACACAGGATGGTAAACAGTGGGAACCAGGCTTGGGGTAGCTGGAAGATGTAGTCACTGTGGAACCAGAGATCTTGAACAGGATATACAGCTTGTGAGTTTCCACATAGCAAAAGTTGGAACAAGGCTGTGGGTCAGGGGCGAGTAATCAAAGCCAGGACAAAGAATAAATACAAATAATAAAAGTAATGGCAACTGGCTGGTTAAAGCATAAGACACTGCAACCAGAAGGAGACCTGTACGAGGAAGCAGCAGAGTTATGAGGTAGAAAGCCAAAATCAGGAACCAGGTAACTTAGAGACTGAAAGAGCAAAACAGAGTAGAAAATGAATTTCACTGGACACCATGAGCAGTGGGTGATAACTGACTATATGGCGCTCCATTCAGACTGAGTATGCTTATGTTATTTCCTGTTGTGCCAGGAGCCATACCCAGTGTGAACAGCCTGGGACTTGAAGGTGGAAACAGGTAATCAGGAGCATTGAGCTCAGGTGGAATGTGTGGGCATGGGGAAACAATGGCTTTTGGCAGTAAAATTCTAACAGCTTGGCTATGTTTAACATAGGATGCTTAAAGTGTCTATTGAAAGAATTATTCACTTTTATAACATACATTTGTCATTGTGAAGCTCAAAAGTATATATTTCACACTTTCATATTACGTTGTTTAAAATAAGTAAAGATGTAACTTCTCTTATTTTTTTCTTTCTCCAGAATATGCCAAATCCTCACAACCTTCCAATAGTGGCTGGTTGGAAAAAATACCCACTTTTTTTTGGTACTGCTGTGTTTGCTTTTGAAGGCATAGGAGTGGTAAGGATTTGTTCTTTATTCTTATTTTAAAAAATTTTAAGTCAACAAAAAGATTTATGTAGTCAACCCATACTTAAAATGCATTTTTCTTTTTTATATCTATTGTCTTCATTACCAGAACACTGTTTGCAGTTTGGTAGGATAGACTCGAATTATAGTTTAGCTGATATTTAATGTTTTTAAGGAAAATTTCAAGCCTGATAACAAAATCTTGAGAATAGTCTTATGAACTCTCATATAAGCATTGCCCAGCTTTAAAAATCAACTCCAGGCCGACTTTGTTTTATCTGTATTCCATCTAATCTGCCAAGCCGAAGTTATGTTCAGACAGATCCCAAACACCATATTTTATAGATTAGATGATTTGAAGTGAATTGAAATTGTTACAAAGTTACCATTACATAGAAGAACCACATATAAATTCTCCCTTAAGATTTGCACATGTCATATTTGTTTTGAGAAATTATATTATCATAAAGCTGATACCAAGAAATACCAGCACCCTGAGGATTCTAAGATCTTAAATATGTCCATTCAAGGTGCTTCCAGTCTATTTAAAGCCTGGAATGGGTAGATTCGGGGGAAATAGAATATCGCTCTCGGCTCTGTAGCTTATGTTTCATTGTCAGATAGTTTGGTATAGGAGCAAAACCGCTTATACACATCTATGTGAACCACAGACAAAATAGATCTAGAGGACAATGTTACAGCATTTCAGTTCGGGTCCTGCTCTCTCCAAATTCTCCCCTAGAGAATTCTCACATATTCTTACAGTTCCACGCATCACCGTTAACAGAAATAAATACAGGTTTTCACTTATGTCTCTAGTTAAACTCTAGTTAACTATCAGACATTTCCAGTTAAGTTCTTCCTCTGACATCTTAAGTTCAGCAGCTTCAAAGTACGACATAGACTGTCTTATCCAAAACCAGCTTCGCTTTCACATTTCCCTGTTACTTCTAGTTTTATTTTCACAGGATGGTAAACATCGGAGCAGTTCCTTTCACTTTGTCCCTGGTTCCCCCATTCCATCAGTAATGAAGGCAGGTTTATTTTTCTTTCCTATTTCCCATAAATGAAAATACATTTGAAACACCCAAATGCTGCTTGCCACAGAAGGAGCCTATGAAATGTGAATTTCCTTCCCTTTCTCCTTTTCTGTTGGTACTGGCACCATTCTTCACTGTTGCCCTTTATTTCAGGTCTGAGTGATCTTTACAGCATCCAAATTGTTCTCTCTTCTGTTAACCAATTACTCTTCCCATATGGACCTGATCATCTCAAAAGTGCAGATATTACTAGAATTATTATCTCATAGTGTTATTGTGAGGACCACATGAGATGCTGCATGCAAAGCATCTAGAAAAATACCTGGCAGAGAGTGGTCCAAGATGTCAGTAGGAGAATCCTGAACTCACCTCTTCCCAAGGACACACTGTGTCAACAGCTGCATATGGAATGATCCCCCCCAAAAAAGAATTGAACACTAGCTGAAGAGTTCTTTCCACAGCAGAGGATAAAAGGGCCCCATGGAGACAAATGGGGGACACAGAGGGGTGGTCTCACCAGAAACACCACCCCCAGTGCAGCAACCCAATATAGGGAGCTTCTCCCTGAAGAGCAAGGGGTTTGTGCCCCACATCAGGCACCCCAACCCTTCAGACCTGCACTGGGGATTTACATCTGTGGGATCCAAAGGACTGTAGGACCTGAGAAACTCCTTTTTAAAAGGCTTGTATATGGACTCACTTGCCCCAGAACGTAGCATAAAAGCTGCAGTTTGAAAAGTGCCCAGATTATATGTGGAGGAGATTCATTTGCAAATCTTAAAGAATCTTCTGGAGGGGCAGGGACATGTTGGGACTTTCTCCGGGGATGGAGGCACTGGTAGGCAACATTTTGGCAGTCCCCCTCTGTGGTGCTGGCACAGGGGTCACTCTCAAACACCGCAGCCTCCCTCCGCCTTGCTAATGCTGGTGGGCGTGCTCTGCCCCCAGCATTTCCCCCTGCCATACCAAAGCTGTGGGCAGTATAGTCCACTCAGGGACGCCCCTTGCTCCCTAGCCCTGGTGGCTAGGAGGGTTTATGTTCCAGGGCCCCATGGGGCTGTAACAATGGGAAAGATGGTTCTTGGCAGGCTGCCATTTCTAGGGCATTGCACAGACAGCTGACTGAAACGCACCCTAGTCTGTCAGCGAAAAAGGCTTATTTACAAGTTTTGAAGCTGTAACCTGAGGGACAGGCTTCAGGTTTGCTGCGCATCTTGAGGCTACCAAAGCAGTCTCGGGACACAGACAGAGAGATAGCATCTTGTGCCCTCCCTTGGCCTTGCTACAGCCTGGCGATACATGTTGGAAAGGAGCTTATACTGTTGTCTGAAGCCTCCATTTTTGCAACTGTTGTCCAGGGGACCCCTCCAGATCTTCTCCTGTAGAGATCAGCAATGTTAACAGTTATAGCCTTAGAGGACTGTGTATTTCCGTACTTTAAACGCTGCTGCCCAAGAATCCAGCTTTCAATTATTCTGAAACTTGGTACTGACTAAAATCTCACACTGGAACACTGGCAGGTCTTGGCATACCCTCAACAACTGTAACGTCTTAAGATTAAATCAGGCTACTTAGACAATCACAAAAGTTCAAGAGACAACCCAGACCTAGGTCAAGGTTGAATGAAAGAGTTTATCGCCTACACAAGATCACTCCTTCAGGACTGGGAGATGTATACACAGAAACAAACATGAAAAGTCAAGAAAAATGAGATGGAGGAATGTGTTCCAAATGAAGGAACAAGACAAAACTGAAAAAGACCTTAATGAAATGGAGATGAGTAATCTACCTGGATAAGAGTTTAAAGTCATGGTCATAAAGATGCTGGTGAAATTTCGGAGAAGAATGGGTAGACACAGAATTTCAACAAAGAGAAAGAAAAATATAAGTACCAAACAGAAGTCACAAAGCTAAAGAATGTGATAACTGAACTGGAAAATATACTAGAGGGGTTTAGCGGCTGACCAGATGAAGCAGAGCTGATCAGTGACCTCGAAGATGGGGCAGTGAAACTCACTGCGTGAGACAGAGCAGGAGAAAGAAAAAAAAAATGGAAAAAGTAAAGAAAGCTTAAGGGACCTATGAGACAACATCAGGCAGAATAGCATTTGCATTATAGGGTCCTCAATGGAGGAAAGAGGAAAAGAGGCATAAAAAATAACAAAGAAATAATGGCTGGAAAACTCCCTAACCTGGGGAAGGAAACAGACATCCAGGGCCACAGATAGTTCCAAATAAGCTGAAGCCAAAGAGACCCACACAAAGACACATTATAATTAGAATGTCAAAAATCAAAGAATTTTTAAAGCAGCAAGAGAAAAACAACTTGTTATGTACAAGGGAACTCCCATAAGGCTGTTAACAGATTTTTCAGCAGAAACTTTGCAGAACAGAAAGGAGTGGCATGATACATTCAAAGTGCTGAAAGGGGGGGAGGGAAACCCCTTCTAACCAAGAATACTTTACCTGGAAAGGTTATCATTTAGAATTGAAGGAGCATTTAAACTGAACAAAAGGGTGAACATGACCATCCTTGACTTTTCCTGATCGTAGAAGAGAAGTTTCAGCTTTTCACTGTTGAGTTGATAGTAGCTGTGGGCCTGTGGTATATGGCCTTTTATTATGTCGAGTAATGTTGCCCATGTAAATATTTTGTGGAGTATTTTTATCATGAATGGATATTGAATTTTATAGGTGTGTTTCTTGCATCTGTGGTGATCATCATGTGATTTTTATCCTTTATAATAAAAGGATAAATTTTGGTGTATCATGTTGATTCATTTATAGATTCTGAAACCTCCTTGCATCCCAGGAATAAATCCCGCTTGATTGTGATGTATGATCCTTTTAATGTGTTGTTGAATTCAGTTTGCTATTTTGTTGAGGATTTTTACATCTGTGTTCATCAGGGATATTTTTTATAATTTTCTTTCTTTTTTGTGTGTGTGTGTCCTTGTCTACTTTTGATATTAGGGTAATGCTGGCCTCGTAAAGTGAGTTTAGAAGTGTTCCCTCCTCTTCAGTTTTCCGGAAGAATTTGAAAAGGATTGGTATTAAATCATATTTGAATGTTTGGTAGAATTTGCTTGTGAAGTCATCTGGCCCCGGAATTTTGTTTGTTAGAAGTTTTTTTGATTACTGATTCAGTCTCCTTACTAGTAATCTTTCTATTCAGATTTTCTATGGCTTCATGGTATATGAATTGGAATTATATATCTCAAGGAATTTACCCTTGTTGAATTTATCAGCTTATAATTGTCGATTATAGGCTCTTACAACCCTTTGTATTTCTGTAGTATCAGTTTTAACTTCTCTTTCATTTCTGATTTTATTTGTGTCCTCTCTCCTTTTTAACTGGTGAGTCTAGCTAAAGGTTTGTCAATTTTGCATGGCAACTATAGGTAGTAATACTTTATTGCATATTTGAAAGTCTTCAAGAGAATAAATCTTTAAAGTTCTCATTACAAAAAAAATTGTAATTTTGATGGTGATGGATGATAACTAGACTTAGTGTGGAGATCATGTTGCAGTATAGGCAAATACCAAATTGTTATGTTGTCTACCTGAAACTAATATAATGTTATATGCCAATTTTATCTCAATAAAAAATGGTAAATTGTAAGAACTCAGTAAATAATTGCTGTTAACTGTTTCTTAGTGTCTTTTACTGTATGATCAGATCACATGGCCAGAACCTCTGAAGATTTGCCTAAAGTAGCTTAACTCTTCAGTTAGCCTTTTTCTTCTTTTTTTTAAGTTTGTTTTTACATAATAAAAATAACTTATTCATCCAATTGACACACAGTAGATACAGGTGGACACAGAAGCAGTTATAACATGAATACACATAGGTTAGTACCTACACATGTATTTCCTAGCACTATCAGATGAGAAGTCCTAAAGCACAAATACACAGTCACTTTAAGTCCACTCAGCACCCAGATCTTGATTTCTAAGTACTATTCTACAACAAAAGAACCAAATTTCTTTGGAGAAATGGCTGATTCTGGGGTTGAAACAAGGATTTTCAAGATGAGTCTGGAGCATTTTGTAGTGCCCAAAAGTATGGAAGTGCTCAAAAAACAAAAGAACAGAGGCATGTCAAAGGAATACAAAGAATACAAGAACCTAATCATGATGACCAAAGATAGAATAATATGAGCAACAAAATAAATGCTTTGGATTCACACCCAAAGTATAAAACAGTATACATGAATGCATGCTAATATAACTGAGCAATTAAATATATGTACATAGAGGGATTCCCAAATCACTTATGTAGGTACTTCCCCTCCAGAAGGTATAGCTTAATCTCCCCAGTCCCTAGATTATGGGCTGCATATAGTGACTTGGCTTCCAATGAACAGAATATATGAGAAAGAAGAAAAGACCTTTACAAGCAGAGAAACCTGGCAGGCACTGCCATAACCAAGTGATAAATCGTGTTGATAGTGTGTGTGATGAGAAGGGCGTTTCACTTCTGTGATATCTTCTTCTAAAACCTATAATCCCAGTGTCCAAACATCAGACAACATCAGACAAGCCCCAGTAGGGAGAAATTATACCAAATACCTAACCAGTACTCCTCAAAACTGTCAAGATGATGAACAATGATAAAGGATTGAGAATCCATCATAGTTAAGAGAAGACTAAGGACACAGGAGACATGGTGACAAAATGCAATGTGACATCCTGGAAGGGACCCTGGAACAGAAAAAGGACATTGGTAGAAAAACTAATGAAATCCAAATAAAATTTGGAGTTTAATAGTAACATACCAATGTTGGATCTTAGTTGTAACAAATGTACTTTGGTAGTATAAATTGTTAACAGTAGGGGAAACTGGTTGGGGGTGTATGGAAGTTTTCTGTTTATCTTTGCAATTCTTCTGTAAATCTGAAATTATTCCAAAATAAAAAGTTTATTTACAAAAACCTGACAGGTTTGCCTACTAAGAGGTGATTTCAGATGTTTTTGTTTAAAGGATTTAAAAATCTGTAGTATAAATAATATATATAACACCAAGAAAAATATTCAGCAAATATAAGGTTTTTTAAGGAAATAAAATTTGCATATAAGCTATAGAAGGATTAGTTTGTATATATAGAAGAATACTTGTGTAAATATAAGACAGATCGTTCTGAATTACCTACATTCTCTTTTCAGGTGCTTCCACTGGAAAATCAAATGAAAGAATCAAAACGCTTCCCCCAAGCATTGAATATTGGCATGGGAATTGTTACAACTTTGTATGTAACATTAGCTACCTTAGGATACATGTGTTTCCATGATGAAATTAAAGGCAGCATAACTTTAAATCTTCCCCAGGATGTATGGTAGGTAGACCTGATTTTCTTCCTAGCTTGTATATTCTCTAGATGTTGCTTACCAATATTTGATGACAAAGATATTTTTGGATTTATGGTTTAAACATTTAAAATTTTTATTGTGATTTCTTATTTGTATAACCTAGAATTTTTTCATAATCTTCAGAGGAGACCATCTAGTATTTTATAGATCCTATGGGGATTCTTTAAAAAGATTAAAAATTGTAGGGTGTTGCAGATTTGAATGAAATAAAATAAAACATGGATTCTTTTAATATGGACTCACTGTAATAAAAAATGTAATACATATACTTGCTGCCAAAAAATCCAACACTCTCGGTTCCAGATAAAGTAATAAAACCCGTCACTTGTGACCCTCACTGTTTTACTGGTCAGCTTTAATCTTGTACATACCCCAGGTCCTTTTAGAACACAGGTAGGACTCATTATAAAAAAATAATATGGTGCATCTTAATATTATCTTAATATTAGAACCATATTCTGCAAAATTAAGCAATATTTAGGTTTTTCCTTCTTCCAGAGATTGGTCCCTGGAGATTTTAAAAAGGCATTGGTATTGATTACCATGTAGATATGCTCCCTTATTTATAAAATGGAAGATAACTCCTTAGTTTTGATAAATACAAAGAATAAATATTAAATTGCTGATTTAATTAATGTCACACTTCTAGAGCTGCTTGGATAGAAGTCTGTGAAACTTGAAATATTTTAAAATATTATATATTCTGACTGGCTTCTTGTTTGTCTACCATTCAGTAGTCATCTACGTCTCGGGTTTTTATTGGAGTCGAAAATGTAAGACCAAATGCATAGAGGAAGCCATTTGTGGTAGAGAGAATATCCCTAGAATAGTTTCCAGGCTGCACAAGGGACGCATATGCAGTGTGTTCATTTTTTAAAGTTCTAGTTCTGCTTTAGCCATGACACATTTTATAAATGTATTTCAAGATGGAAACATGTTCAAATGTCATACATTTGTTTCAGGCTAGAGACATGACTACAAGCAAGATACATAATTTTAAGCATTTATTTTATTAACCTATGTTATAGTTGATTATATAATTTTGTTTCTTCCAAATATGCTTCTTTTTGTAATGATTTAATATGGACTAGCAACTTATACGCTAATATAAGACAATCAGGCTAAAAATTATAGTATCTTAGTTCCTCTTTTCAGATACTGTGTCTAGAAAACTGATATTTTTCCGCACTTAGAATAATATTTAGAGTAAATCTTAATAATTTTATACAGGGGGCCTGGGTGGCTTAGTCAGTTAAGAGGTCAACTCATGATTTCAGCTCAGATCATGGTCTCACAGTCCAGAGTTCGAGTCCCACATTAGTCTTTGTGCTCATGGCGCAGAACCTGCTGCAGATCTTCTGTCTCCCTCTCTCAGCCTCTCCCCTGCTTATGCTTGCTCTCTCTCAAAAAAATAAATGTTAAAAAAAAATTTTTAATTTTTTATAAATAAAGTTGACAATGACTTTTAATGTCAAAACTAAAATTAGGTGGAAACAATCTCAGAATTCTTCCCCGAGGGAAGGGACTGAAGTGGGAGCACACACATCGGGTTCAGGTGTTCCTGTCCCCAGAGAGTTAAGAACATAGTTAAGGAACATTGGGAAGGACGAGTAAGGAATGCTTCTGCTATTCACTAAATCCCACGGGGTGATACTGTCCCTGCAGTAGCTCTATTTAATCCTTCCCTTTTTCCACATCCCGTTCCCACGCTCCCCTTATCCCCAGTTGCTATGACTTTACAATTAGAACAGAATTAGTTACAAGTCTTGAATAAAAAGGAACCATCGCATCATCATTTCTATTCAAGAAAGCTAAGTAAACAGCTTTTCATTTAGAAGAAAGGCTAGTATGTGTATCCTAAGAAATAAAGATCTGGGGGAGAACGGAAAGCAAGTGAAGATTTGTCATTCACCTTTAGGTAACTTGTGTTGGGTAGTTTATTCTCCTTGTGGAGACAAGACTTGTGTGGCCTACTCTCCATTTCATTATGGTCTCAGCAGCTGGGACAGTTAGAACAATAGCCAAGGCTGTGAAAGACTGCTGAGGAGACGCATGTCTTTTTACAGTGGTAGTCTTCTGTAAAAGGAGAAGTTTGGACCAGAATGACCATGGGATTATATCTAAGATTTCTTATTGTGCTCTCTCTGAGTCTCTTCTTCCTTTCCTTCCCTGTGCTTCGGATGATATTGGCCTAGGAAGTCAGAGAATGCGCAGTGTACTCATTACTGTCAGTATAAAAGCCGATGGCTGTTGCAACAGCCTAGGAAACCCGTAGCTGCTAGCTCAGGGGAGCTGTAAAGGGCTTCTGATGTCATGCAGGGGCATTACTACCAGAAAATACTGAATTAGAAAGCAGCCCTGGGATAAAGCAAGTATGAATTAGAAAAGCTCCAAGTTATTAACTGTTTATTGACTAAGGTGACATCTTTTAAAACTAGTTATGAGTAGTAGTGTGCAATGTATCAAATTTAGATTTTGAAGCAAAGAATGTATTTTAATGATAATTGAGCTAGAATATAAGCACCATGAGGTCAGGAACCCTTCATCTTATAGACTTATGATGTATCTCTGTGATCTAGCACATTGCTCAGAGTTTAAGAGACCCTTAGTAAATGTTTGCTAAATAGGATTCTAGGTTTAATAGCATTTCCCGTGTTACCTGATAGTATCACCAAGGCACCACTACTAGTCCTAGTTGAGTGATGTTTCAGCAGTGTTTTTCCAAGGCTTCCACTAACGTAACCTAAATAGCAGTGGAGAGAAGAAGAAAAAAGTGCTTTCCTGGGAGTCTTGAGCAAAGACTTGCCCAAATAGCCTGCCTCAAGCATAGCATCAGCTCATGCTGTGTTTTAAAAAGTAGACCTTTTACATAATCATAATCTTGATGTTGCTTTTTATAAAAATAGTTCTCCCTCAAAAAAAACATTTGAAACTGACACTTCAAGCGACCCACTGTGTATAGCCCATCCTCTGAGAAGCCCTAGCATGCTGCCACCCTCCAGGAGTTAGTATGTCGTCTGAAGTGCAAAGGCACGGTGCTGTTGCAAGCAGAATAACCAAGAGGAAATAATCTTTTGGATACCAGATTTAAAAACACTATACAAATAAAGCCATGATGGTAACATAGCCCAGATCATAAAAGGGTGTTTCTTTTTGTCTGGATCGATATGAAGGGTTTTTCATATCACTTTATGTAGATGCCGTTCTTCACACAGTGGTCCCAGGGTTTGACATAAATTGCTGTGTACTGCTTTAATTTATAGACTCTTCTTACCATCATAGAAGTCCTAAGTAGGAAAAGTGTGCATGAAATTAGCCTGAAGAAAATATCAGAATGTGGAAACCAGCAGATGAACAGTATTTATGTTGGAGCATGGATGCGACATCATTGTAAAATCTTCCGGGTGACTGTGTTTAGATTATGGGTCTCTCTACCTGCTCTGATAGCAATTTTTGGAATGTAAGCCATCAGATGATGGTTTCTAGTTCGTGTCATTGTTGTAAGGGAAGGTTGAAGGTATGGAGATTTGAGCATCAGTGGCGGTATAACAAGTTCACAAGAGGACTTAAGATAGCAAATAGTATTTATGTGAGTTCTGTCTTACTGTGTCCTTGTGAGTGATGGTATATACATTGTAGGAACAAATATCTTTGTGTTGTGGTTTCCTTTGTTCACTTTTGTTCTTTTGCTTGCTTTTTACCAGCTGGAAACACGAGGTCTGTTCCATACCCCTTTACCTTTTCCCTAGCAGTTACCATGCCTTCTTATTTGGTTCCAGGTAGTGACTTTATACCTTTTCTCACTATAGCCCATAGTAAGAGAGGGTAATGTTTTATAGAAAAGTCATCATAGAATTAAGTGTCTGTGTGTCTGTGTGTATATGAGTTTTTATGGTATATACTGCCCATACACATATAAATGTTAAGTATAAGGTTAGATAAAAACACATATTTCTGCATATGGTATCCCCTGATATTCTCTATTCCAGTCTATATATTAGGGAAAAAACATATTCATAACTCAATTAATATCATAGCCCATTAATGGGTCATGATTAGAGTTTGAAAAATCCTGGCCTAGAATAAATTTACATGTTACTCATTCAGCACGCATAGCACTTCCACTAAGAAACATCAAAGGTATCAGCTTTTCATACAAACAAATACTGAGAAGCAGTAAGGTGCTTCTGCTATCCCACATGTGGCATTTTTTGTGAAGTATGTATTGGATACAAAACATTCAGTTAAAAAATAGAGAAGAACGATTGGGGCACCTGGGTGGCTCAGTAGGTTAATCATCCAACTCTTGATTTCAGCTCAGGTGATGACCTCATGGTTCCTGAGATCAAGCCCCTCATCAGGCTCTGCAATGACAGCATGGAGCCTGCTTAGGATTCTCTCTCTCTCTCTCTCTCTCTCTCTCTCTCTTTCTCTCTCTCTAACTCTGTCTCTGTGTCTTTCTCTTTCTATCTGCCCCTCCCCTGCTCATGCTCTCTTTCTCTCTCTCTCTCAAAAATAAATAAACATTTTTTTTAAAAAAAATAGAGAAGACCATATAAGAACAGGAAAGGTCTAAGGCAGGCATTTTAATTTATTAAGATAATTGAACTGGTTCTTCATTTTCCTTCCCAAACAGAATAAACCCCAAGTCTAGCCCATGTTGGTAGCATACATGAGCTATGAGCACGGATATTCTGGGAACTAGCTGACAAGTAACGGCAGGTAATCAAGCTGTGTCTTGATGGATCCTACCAGGCAGTCAGGGAGTGAGATCTGAGGAGCTTGTTCCCTACAATGAAAATATTTAGGCAAGAATGGGCTCACCAAAGGGTACAATAAAAAAGCAGTAAGAGAAATAAATTGAAGGAAACTGGAAAAATAAGATTCATACATCCTAGACTATTCTCTCTGTCCTCTCCCTCACAAATTCTTTTTTTTCCTCATTACAACTTTTAGTGGCTCTCAAAATTATGCGACAGACTTATTTTTTCCAATATTAAAGTTGCCTGTAACTGGGAATCTTGGCCTGCCCAAACTGCCTCTGACTTTTCTCATCATAATGATTATTATTAGTTATATTAAATTCAAAATGAAGGGCATCTCACGGATACCTATTGTATGCCTTTTATGGACTTTTAGGTACTGTTCCAGGCACTAGCAGTGAACAGATGAAAAATCTCTTCCTTGTAATACTTAACAGTTTAATGAAGATGCTATAAAAGCTGAGTGGCTTACAGCATTCAGTGTAGTTGTGAAGAGTAAAAACCATTATTGCATTATTTTTCAGCTTAGCATGAGGTGAGGTTCTTGGTAAGGATTGTAGCTAGTCCTCAGACTTCTCTTCTTAACAGAACTAAGATCAGATTCTTAGCCCGAGTATCACCAAGGGTCTAAGAGGGAAAGTGAGTTATCAGAGTCCTTCCAGGCATAGCTTTTTGTATTCAGCCTTGCAAGAAAGAGAAGCAGTCAGCAGCGATTTCCCAGGTTGTCTTTTCAAAAATTTTAAGATTCCTAGCTGTAAATTTAGGGTAAGTATTGATTTGCTAGCCAATGTGGGGAAAAGAATAGAAGCTCTGAAAATTTTGAAATGCCGTGTTTTTAAAACTAATGTTTTCATTGGAACATTTAGTTGCTCCCTAATCTGATTTCATAGATTTCATATATTGACTGCAAAGTAATTATTTAAAAAAAAACACTTATGTTCTTTACTAAGATATTAAATTTCTTTGCTACCGTATAATAAATGTTGTTTTCCAGCAAGAATTATTTTATTCTTTGAAGTATTTTTATTTGTGATATTGAATAGATACAGTTTCTGAGAATTACCTATCCATATCCATTTTTTATTATTAATATTTACTTAATAAATATTTGTGAACTGCTAAGCGCAGTGGGGGTTATACAGAGGAGAATAAATCATAGTCTCTAACTTTCAAGAACTTTGGCAGTGAGTTTTACAGTAATTTGTAGTGTGCATTAAGTGTTATTGAAAAGTTGTTTACATTCTTCTATATCTTCAAAACAAATTCCTGTAACTTAAAGTTTTTGTCCTTTGGAGATACAGTTTAAGAGTAGATTATTAAAGTCTTCATTTCTAAAACTTGGTACATAGATGCCTGCTTACAACCAAATTAAGAAAAAAGGTGATAATATCTATTGAAAAGATGATTAGAGAAAAATAGTTTAGGGTGATTGAAAATATAGATGACAAACACAGAAATGAGTAGATTCTTAGAAAAGAAGTAAAAATGGAACAACTGATTTTAAAAACTGCAGTGCTTTTCTTAAACACTCTTATTTCTATGTTACTCTTCTGTGGTTGATAATTAGAAGTATACTAGCCTGTAAAAGATTCATATCATTTTATTTTCCATTAACTCTAATACCAAATGATACTATTTGCATATAATCAATATTATTGACTGGCATTAATAATAACCAGATCCTTAGCATGTATAACTTGTTTTAAATCAATAGAAAAGTAATTATACCTATATGCATAATGATGTATTTTAAAATATATTGTTAACCACGTTTAAAAACAAGTTAAAAGATAATTTGAACAAAAGGAATGTTCTGATAATAAACTGGTAAGAATATTCATTTAATTGTCTACAGTTACATATCAGAATAAATGAAGCAGGAGTCTTTCCACTATTCTGTACATTGCAATAATTTGACCATTCATATTTAAATTTTAAGCCTCAAGCTGAGAAGTAAATCCTGAAATCATTTCAGTATTACGATTTTATTGTTGCTAGCCCTAAGGAGTTCCTTCTTTCTTTAATTACGTTGTTTGCGGTATTTTCAAAGCTCTTTCTACTTGGCTGTTTTTCCTTCCCCTTACTCCTGTGATGCATATATTATGGAAGGAGACTTACTGACTTCCTTCTTTCTTGGCCACAGTTTAGAGAATTGTTGATAATCTTTACTATAAGCCTTAAGACATCGGAAATAAGCTTAAAGCCTAATTAATGTTGAGGACTTCCTTTGCCAAAAGTGGACTATTTTGTATCCCTTTAAAATGATTGTATTTTCCCTCCTAAGGAAGACACACTCTTCCCTGTGCATAGGCCTGGCAGGCGGGAAAGCAAGGCTCTGAAGGGGAGATTGGGGCTGTCAGTGATGCTTCTGCCTAAAGATGATGTGGCTAATGCGGCACTTTCCATCCATGGCCTCCTCTCCAGTTGTTTTTGTTTTATTTTTAAAGAATACAAGAGCAATGGTTTTTTTATTTTAATTGTAAAATATTCAAAATTTCAAAAAAACACAACACATAATTTTATTATCTGTAACGTAAGAGAGTAGATTGAATAATGCTCTGAGTCCTATGATTCTGTGTTTTCTCTCTGTGCCACTATCAATCAACATTTTAAAAGTGTTCTTTGGCCACACAAAAGGCAGTTAACCAAAGTCTCTATCGGGACATGTATACTGATTTTGACAAGACGCTGTCGGCAATGTAGAAATCTACAGATTTTTATAAAACTGAAAATTTCTGTGCTGTTTTGAAGCACTGGGCATCAACCCAGCCTAATGACTTTATTTCCCTATTAATGTAACTTAGTATAAGTGGAGTTCCTATGTAATCAACTTTGCGAGTTGAAACCATTTAGATGCCCTCTTTTTGGACCTAAGAATGATGATATTTCTGCAACTAATGACATAGATACCAAGATTTTTAAGCAAGGAGAATATAACTCAAAGTTCAATGTGAAGTTTTTCTTTTATATGTGGATCAATAAGATATCAAAGACCAACAGTATGCTCAGTTTTTAAAAGAAAGTTGAGAAAAAAACATTAGGTCTTCATGGGACTCAGCCTAGCCTTTAAAACATTGGCTTAGGGGCACCTGGGTAGCTCAATTGGTTAAGTGGCTGACTTTGGCTCAGGTCACAATCTTGTGGTTTGGGAGTTCAGGTGCTGTGTCGGGCTCTATGCTGACAGCTCAGAGCCTGGAGCCTGCTTTGGATTCTGTATCTTCCTCTCTGTCTGCCCACCCCAGCTCACACTCCTCCATCTCTCTCTCTCAAAAATAAACATCAAATAATTTTTTAAAACATTGGCTTAGCCTAAAATGAAATATTTTCCAACAACATTTGGAAAGATTATGAAATCTTTGCATTGCCACATTCAAGCTCTCTAGGCTTGTCAAAATGAACTGTCCATCTGTCATCTAGAAATTTAGTAGAGATCAGCTGGCTTTTTTTTTTTTTTTTTACATATACACAAGTGTTTAATTAGTAAGATACTGGCCTACATTTGTATTGGATTTCTTACCTATCTTAACATTAAAGGTAAAAGGAAGAAAGCCAGATTCCTAGGGGCTGGTGGATAGAAAAAAGAGTTTGACAAAAGGGTACAAACTTTTAGTTGTAAGACAAGTTCTAAGGATCTGATGTATAATGTGGTGACTATAGTTGAAAATACTGTAGTATTTAACTGAAATTTGCTGAGACTAGAACCAAAGTGTTCTCACCAAAAAGAAAAAACAAGGCAAACGTGAGGTGATGGATGTGTTGATTAACTCAATTATGGGAATCTTTTCACAGTGCATACTTAAATCATGTTTTACACTTTATGTATATTACAGTTTTGTCACTTATACCTCAATATGTCTGGGGGGAAAAGTATCACTGAATTTTGAAATATTCTTTTAACAGGTTATATCAATCAGTGAAAATTCTGTATTCCTTTGGCATCTTTGTGACATATTCAATTCAGTTCTATGTTCCGGCAGAGATCATCATCCCTGTGATCACATCCAAATTTCATGCTAAATGGAAACAAATCTGTGAATTTGCAGTAAGGTCCCTCTTGGTTAGTATTACGTGTAAGTATTGCTACATGTTTATATCATAATTTTTCTGGTTGAATTACTTATAATTAAGCTACTTAAAGTATACTTTTAAATTTTTTAAAAATTTCATTCACCTAGCTGAGATACTTTTTGGGTTAAAATCCCATTATTCTACTACTATATAAGAAAAACACAAACCAGTTCCTATCACACTTAAAAGAACAACTCAAATTATTATTTTGAAAACTACATTAGCGATGATTAAAATATATCTAAATCAGATGAATAAGGGACTACTTATATTGTTCATACACATTTTACTTTGGTTTTCATTTTCCTCAGGTTTTTTATTTAAGCGAACTTTTGTGTATTTAACAGTTTATAAGAACCTAACCTATAGAAATGGGTTTTATTTTGTTTTGGTCTTTAATTATTCCAGTGGCTAATTTAATATATTATTTGAAGGCATATATAACCTCATAATAACGTTTCACAATTTAAAATGCTCCACCAGAAAGCACTAATCACAAGACCTGTGGAGAAGGAGCTTGATTGTGGTATGATAGTGGTACAGTAGACATAGTATGAGTTTTGGAGTCTCACTGACCAGACGGCTCAAACCTACCACTCACCTGCTGGTGGCCTTAGGCAAGTTACATAGCATTGTCAAGCCCCTCTTTGCTCAACTTTGAAATGAAGATTTCCTTAATGGCATTTTTGTAGAGTTTAAGAATATTAACAAAGTAGCCAGCACTTATTATTGTCACGAGTATTATTGTAACCACAAATATAAGATGACCGTAACACTGAACTAACTAATGGGATTGCCTAGACCTAGAATGACCCGTTGGAAATGGGTCAGCTTTCTGTGGAAGATGTGAATAACCATCTTGGTCCATTAAAGATAAGCGAAATGAGAGAGCTAGAAGTTTGGGGCAACTCTGTAAATTGCGGTGAGCAACTTGGGTTGGAGCTTATGCCTAGATGTAAAGAAACAGTGAAGCTGGGAAAAGGAGATGAAACCTGTTTTCCGAAGTAATCATTTAAGTGAATTATATCAACAATAATCATCAAAAATCGTATTGAGGAGTGAAGTCAGTAAGCCCTTACTCTGAAGACTAATAAAACATTCAGTAGGAAAAAAGTACTTTAAGACATTTTGAAATATTTCTTATACATTGTTTTTATTGATTTGACAACTACTACATAAAAGGACTGATTTCAATAAAAGCCCTTTTAACATAGATGTAAGACTCTAAGTTCGGAGAGTATTTCTCCTTTTCATATTACTGAAGTTCACTTGAAGGAGCTTGAGAAAAACATTAAAGGGATTTAATACTTTTGATATTTTTTTCGCCCTACAGTTACAAAGAATGGGCTTAAAATAGGATTTTTTTTTATGAGAGGAAACTTTGTGCCTTAAGTATACCTTCTTTTTCTCTGTAACGTAGTTGGCAAATACTGAATAAACTTAATTGTTTTTTAATAGACCTATTCATTCATAATACCTGTCTGTAAATGACATAGGGCTACCTATTTACAGCAATCCTATAGTAAATTTTTGTAATGAATAAATTGCCTGTATTCCAGACTATCCTTTGAATTACTGTTTCTGTGATTTTGAGTTTTTATATATTGATTATGCCTAAAGTATATATTTTTCTCTTCCTTGTTTACTAATAGCATTATCAAATAACATTTCAAGCCATTTTTTACTGGCAAATATCTACTGGTTATATAGCCTTTTTTAAAGTTTATTTATTTTGAGAGAGAGCGAGAGGGAATGAGCAAGCAGGGAGGAGCTGAGAGAAGGAGAGACAGAATCCCAACCGATGGCACAGAGGCCAGTATGGGGCTTCAACTCACCAACTATGAGATTGTAACTTGAGCCAAGATCAAGAGTTGGACACTTAACTGACTGTGTCACCCAATCGCCCGATTATATAATCTTTAAAGGATGACTTCAGGGGCACCTGGGTGGCTTAGTCCATTAAACGTCCGACTTCGGCTCAGGTCATGATCTCACAATTTGTGGGTTTGAGCCCCGCGTAGGGCTCTGTGCTGACAGCCAGCTCAGAGCCTGGAGCCTGCTTCAGATTCTGTGTCTCCCTCTCTCTCTGACCCTCCCCTGCTCACACTGTCTCTCTGTCTCTCTTTCTGAAATAAATAAAACATTAAAAAATTAGAAAAAAAAAAAAAGATGACTTCAGGTGCCTGTCCTGCCCACACCTGCTCTGGCAAGAACGTTGCTTAAAGCCTCGCTTCACTGTGCTCCAGGTCCCCGCATCCTGCCTGTGATTGGGACTCCCTCAAAAAAACAAGCCAAAGTACACATGGTGGAGAGTCCCAAATACTGCTACAGGTAGGGAAACAACCAAACTCTCAACAAGAGAAACCAAGAGACACCATTCAAAGAACACTTCCTGAACAGACAGGCCCTGAACAGTCAAAGAGCCCTCTTTAATACAGCAGAACTTGCAGAGGCAGAGTGTACAACAAGCTTTTAAAATTAACAAGAGATAAAAAACTAACCAAAATGACGAAACGGAAGATTCTCCTCCAAAGAAATTCCAGAAGAGCTGACAGCTAAAGAACTGCTCAAAACAGATATAAGCAACGTAACTGAACAAGCATTTAGAACAATAGTCATAAAATTAATCACTGGGCTTGAAAAAACCATGGAAGACATCAGAGAAACTATTGTACAAACACTGTGGAGCTCAAAAATACTTACAATGAATTAAAAAATGCTATAAATGAGATACATAATAAAATGGAGGCATCCAATGCACAGATTGAAGAGGCAGAGAGGAGAATAAGTGATTTAGAAGACACAATTATAGAAAAAGAGGAAACTGAGAAAAAGATAAATTGAATCAGGAACATGAAAGAAGAGTTCGAGAGCTCAGCAATACAACCAAATGGAACAATATCCGTATCATAGGAATCCCAGAAGAGGAAGAGAGAGGGAAAGGTGCTGAAGGAGTCCTGGAACAAATTATAGCAGAGAGCTTCCCCAACCTGGGGAGGCAAGTAGATGTTGAAATTTAAGAGGCACAGAGAACTCCCCTCAGACGTAACTTGAATTGATCTTCTGCGCGACATATCATAGTGAAACTGGCAAAACATAAGGACAAAGAGAATTTTGAAAGCAACTAGGGAGAAAAGGGGCCTAACATACAAAGGGAAACCTATCAGAGTGGTGACAGACCTATCTACTGAAACTTGGCAGGCCAGAAAGGAATGGCAGGAAATCTTCAATGTGATGAACAGAAAAAATATGCAGCCAAGAATCCTCTATCCAGCAAGCCTGTCATTCAAAATAGAAGGAGAGAGAAAAGTCTTTCCAAATAAACAAAAATTGAAAGAATTTGTCACCACTAAACCAGCCCTACAAGAAATCCTGAGGGGGACTCTCTGAGGGAAGTGTTGCAAGGAATGAAGACACCAGAGACACCACCACAAGCATGAATCCCACAAATGACACAGTGACTCTAAACCCATATATTTCAATAATAACACTGAATGTAAATGGACTAAATGCCCCAATCAAAAGACATAGGGTAGCAGAATGGATAAAAAACCAAAATCCATCTATTTGCTGTTTACCAGAAACACATTTTAGACTGGAAGATACCTTCAGATTAAAAGTAAGGGGATGGAGAAATATGTATCATGCTACTGGAAGTCACAAGAAAGCTGGAGTAGCTATATTTAGACAAACTGGACTTTAAAGGAAAAACAGTAACAAGGGATGAAGAAGGACATTATATAATAATTACAGGGTCTATTTATCAGGAAGAACTAACAATTATAAATGTCTACACACCAAATATGGGAGCACCTAAGTATATAAAACAATCACAAACAAAAACAATCTTATAGATAAGAATGTGCTAATAGCAGGGAACTTTAATACTCCACTTAGAGCAATGGATAGATCAACTAGACAGAAAATCACTAAAGAAACAATAGACTTGAATGACACATTGGACCAGATGGATCTGACAGATATATTTAGAACTCTACATCCTGAGGCCATGGAATTCACTTTCTTGTAAGTGCACATGGCACATTCTCCAAGATAGATCACATCCTGGGACATAAAGCAGCCCTCAATAAATATAAAAGAATTGAGATCATACCATGCACTCTTTCAGATCACAATGCTATGAAACTTGAAATCAATCATAGGAAGAAGTCTGGAAAACCTCCAAAAACATGGAGGTTAAAGAACACCCTACTAGGGGTGCCTGGGTGGCTTAGTTGGTTAAGCGTCCGACTTTCACTTAGGTCATGATCTCGCGGTTCGTGGGTTCGAGCCCCACGTCGGGCTCTGTGCTGACTGCCAGCTCAGAGCCTGGAGCCTGTTTCAATCTGTGACTCCCTCTCTCTCTGACCCTCCCCTGCTCACGCTGTGTCTCTCTCTATCTCCTAGAAATAAATAAAACATTAAAAAAAAAAAAAAAAGATCACCCTACTAAAGAATGAATGGACCAATCAGGCAATTAGAGAAGAAATTTAAAAATATATGGAAACAAATGAAAATACAACAATCCAAACTCTATGGGATGTGGCAAAGGCAGTCCTAAGAGGAAAGTACATTTCACTCCAGGCCTATTTCAAGAAATTCGAAAAAGCACAAGTACAAAATCTAACAGTGCACCTAAAGGAACTAGAGGGAGAGCAACAAGAACACCCCACATCCAGTAGAAGAGAAATAATAAAAATCAGGGCAGAAATAAAGGATGACTTCAGCTAATTGATAAATTTCATGATTAAAAGTGTTTGATAAATGTCTGAATGAATAGATTCTAGAAACCTGTAGTGTTCCTCCATATGCTTTTTCAACCAATTTCACTTAATTTTTACTAGTAACAGCTGGATTATTGAAAAACATTAATGCGGAAAAATGAATTCCAAAATGAAAGACTCCTCAGATGGCTATGTTCTAGTCATGCTTATCCAGCCTTCCTTTTATACTGCCATCTGCTACTAGTAGGTAGAAGTATGTCTCCCTGAAATGGATGTAGTCCCTGAAATCTGCAAGGTCCTAATTGTGTTTGGGAGTTATGCTTATAGTGCCCTTGAGAAAAACATTAAGAGAACATAACAAGCGTCCATTCCACAGGGAATCCGCTCTATGAAGCATTACTAGTTTAGAGTTTCAACTTCTTCAAAGTCATTTATCTTATTTAAGAAAGTTTGCTACACTTCAGTCCTCTAGGTATGAGGCTAGATTTATAATTTCAAAATGGCTTTTAGGGTTTTAGCTTTGAAAAGAATTTAAATAGGAAATAACAGGTATTTCTGAGAAACCTAGTAGTTCCAAACTAATCCCATGTCCTCCTGGAAAACATTGAGAATCACAAAGAGAAGAGGGGAGGGGAAAAAAACCCATAACCTAAAAGTTAAAAAGTGGAGAAATCAGTAGACTGCACCCTGAATACTTAATTGCAAAGAGCCCAAGTTAAATTATATATACACCACAGAAAGGTCGGCAAGAGACAGAGAGGCTAGAAATGAGGAAGCAAAAGTACGTAAACTTAGAAAAAAAGAGGAATAAATGGTAGGGAGGGATAAATAAAGGGATAAAAAGAAATGGTAGCTTTACGAGACAAGTTATGGAGAGTCTATGGGGTCCTCAAAGCTGGGACTGTGGTGGCGGAGTCGTCCGCGGTGGCAGGGCTGACGAGGTCGCCACAGCTTGCATGTGAGCACAGTCCGTTGTCTTTTCTGGTGGCCGCTCCAAACCCTCAGCCTTCAGTGGATCACTTTAGGACATTTTGAAACAGAAGAAGGAGTCTTAGGGTTTACAGATCTTCTGTTGATACCTTTGGTAAGATGAGGGTAAGTAGGATCACCAAAGTGCCAGATCCGAACTTTCAGAAATCTGCCAGTAGTTTGGAAGAAAATCCTGTCGACTAGTAGTAGTAGTAGTGCATTAATTTTTTAAAATTTTTAATTTTGAAATAATTTAGAAAAGTTATAAAAGAAAGTAGAGTAGAAAAGGTATAAAAGTTGTTTATATAAGAAACTGCTGAAAAGTCACAGTTCAAGAAATATGACTCACTGTTTTGGTTTCCTCGTGTGTTTGATGGATTCTTCAACAGGCAATAATTTCGTAGTGCCTACTTGCATTAATTTTAAAGTTTTGACAAAACGGTAAAACCTTGGTTTGTGAGCATAATACATTCCAGAAACATGAGTGTCATCCAAAGCACTTGTATATCAAAGCAAATTTCAAGAACTATTGGTTCAGTTGTGATCATGTGACATTCAGCATCACATACTACTCATCGCAGTATGTTGCTCATTTATCAAGTTACAATTTACTAGAAATGTCTGCTTGTCTTGTGGAACACTCGCAGAACAAGTTACTCACAGTCCAAAGTTCTATGTATCTACATTTAGTGCTCATTTAACTATTAAATATTTAAATAAAATACGTATTTTCATTTTCTAGGTGCTGGAGCAATTCTGATTCCTCGTTTAGATATTGTGATTTCCTTCGTTGGAGCTGTGAGCAGCAGCACATTGGCTCTGATCCTGCCACCTTTGGTTGAAATTCTTACATTTTCTAAGGAACACTACAATATATGGATGATCCTGAAAAATATTTCTATAGCGTTCACTGGTGTTGTTGGTTTCTTCTTAGGTACCTATGTAACTGTTGAAGAAATTATTTATCCTACTCCCAAAGTTAGAGCTGGCACTCCACCAAGTCCTTCTCTAAATTTGAATTCAACATGCTTTACGTCTGGGTTGAAATAGTAGAAGCAGAATTATGACTCTTCTCCTTTTGTCTGAGTTCTGAAATGATCAAAATAAGAACTGGTAGAATCCATTGCCATACACCTAAAAATAGAACGGAACTCTCTTTTCTTTTGGCACAATAATGACATTTTGGTAGTGAACTGTAATTCTTGACCATTAGTGGTAAACTATGACAGATTCTTGGTTTTGAGTATTAATAATAATTTCAAAAAGTTTTAGTTTTGAAAATTTTATGAATTAAAATGTAGAAGAATTAAAGAATAAAAGACTTCCACTGTTCTTCATTCAATCAGAAATACTCTAACCAAGATTCTCTTTTATGCCCATGCTCATCTTTCCCCACCCTGCTGAGGAGAGAACAAAATTCCATCAACAAGAGAACCAGAGGACATAGTTAACCCAAATCTTCAGACCATCTCAGTGAGTGTCAACATGTACTTTGTGTATGATGTAAAAATATCTCAATTGTGTTTTTATTAGAGAGCCAAATACTTAACGATTCACCCCTGCAAGGATAGAAAATTCCAATGTAAGCATCAGAAATCCCTAAACCAGAATTGTTCTGCACTATTCTATGATGGTAGTTGATCTGCACAATGAAAATTATGAGGTGCTGTGTGAGGTCCTGTTTTAGTGTCTAGGTCAAATTTGAAAAAGACTTTAAAGGTTATCCAGCACAATTCCCTTGATGTCCAGAAAGGTGGTCAAGACCGCTCAGCTTTGAGATCAAGCAAGAGAACCTGATCTTTGGATCCCCAGTTCAGGATTTATTGTTCACATCACATCCAAGAAAAACAAATTATGTTCAGTTTAGCCTTTAGTGTTGCATCTACATAATTATATTTTAAAACTCGGAAAGCCAATGATCTTTCAGTAATATATGTGACCTGAGCATAAAATCAGAGAACTCTCAAAAGCACGCATTACAGGCACATAAACCTCAACAAGAGAAAGAAGGTGTGTTTGTTTGTTTGTTTGTTTGTTTGTTTGTTTGTAGTAGAAGGTGCCCAGCCCTTCTGTCTGTGGCTTGAACTTTCATTATTTCTTCTTTTTTAGGGTTTGTAGGCACCGTTTTTCTTAATGGCAGAAAATAGATCTGACAAAATACAGGATTTGTGATTTATTTCCAGCCCGGTGGCTTTCCTGATTATAGCCTTTTATTGATCTGAATGGGCAGAATAAAAAAAAAAAAGGAAATTTATGCCGAGAAAAAATCAAGGCAATTATAGACTCTCTACTACATATTGAGACACTACAGGTTTCTTCCAGAGAAATACCTTCTATTACTTCATATTCGTCAAACCCAGTTAGTAACCAAAACAAGCTCAGTTGACATGGAAAATGAAAACTTTTAAGTTTAACACATTAGGAATCTTGATTTTTTTTTTTTTTTTTAAAAATTCACACTTTAAAACATTTTTAATCAGGCTGGTAATTTGTAATACTACAAGATCAAGATCACTGTAGTATATGTATTCTATATTTTTATATGTAAATGTGAACTTAGTTCAAGTAATTTTTTGCTTTACATCATTAATGAGTCATCAAATACAGTCCTAACAAAGTATCAGAAGCTTTATTTTTGTACAAATTCATAAGAATCAAACTTTTTTTAAACATTTACATTAGATATCACCAATAATTCTTTGTGACACTTTTATATCAAATGTGTTATGTTGAGCTTTGAGTCACACTGAGAGAATGTGGAAGAAGTTATAGGAAAAGTAATTGTCATTGAAACTTATATAATTGTGTTTCTAGGAATAAATTAGGTTTTTTGAAAGAAATATATAACTTGGTATAAAATGACTTGAAAACCATTACTTAATAGAAAGCACTTATTTTGTCAGGTATCTTCAGATTTTTCTAGTCTATGCATGAAATTTTATTTTTATACTTTGACCTGTTTATTTTCCTTATTCATCAAACTAAGTGAATTTCGAATAGCTGATGATAGCAATAAATGAACTTTAGCATGAACAAAACGTGGAGTGCATTATCAGCCAGGCTTCCTTATGTAGCAAGTGTTGAATCGACATCCAGTACTTAGTTCACTAAATGATCAACACTTTAAATATGAGAGCAAAGTTGAGATGGTGAAAGAGGGGCTAAATAGGGAGAGACTAGTTTTAATTCTTAACAAGAAACTAGTTAGATGTAAACATGCACACACTCTTGTTTTAAGGATTTTTGATGAAGCATGTTATTTGCAAAAAACATCAGTGCCATATTTTTCCTCTGAAAACTTAGTTTTAGTGAGACACAATGTTTCTAAAGATTTTTGGAGAAGATAGTTTGATTAGACCAGCTGTTGCTTTTATTTGGGGGCCTGGAAAGGTGAGAGTGGTGGTCGCACCTGTCAAATTGTGTATTTGGTGTCCAGGTCTGTTCCATGACGGCTAGGGCGACCTCGGCGCTTCACCCACCTCTGCAGTCAGGAGCCCTCCTCTTTGAAAGCCAGTCAGGTGCCTGAGAGCTCTTTCCGCTCTGAGGTAGGGGAGAGAAGGGAGAGCTTCACTCATCTCTGCTGACCTCTGCTCTAAGTCTATCATCGTAGGCTCCCTATATTCCAAAGGGTTTCCCAACTCCACAGTCCACTTGTCAGAACGCTGGCTTTTAGACATTTTGTATCAGATGCTCTTTTTTTCCCCACATGATCATATTTCTCTGCAATTAAATAAGAACTAGTGGGGTTTTTTTCCTGAGTAAAGACCAATTGGTATGATGTTAGCAAATAAAAGAGTGCGCTGTATTAACGAATGCCACGTTATGTTTTAATTCTGTCCTTGCTGGATTCTCCTTTATTAAAACCATTTATGCCTCTCACCTAGGTAATACACGTAAATTAACATTTTTGTAGACTTTTATTGCAATGTGCATGTTGTAAATTTCCTAACCGGGCCTAATTTCATTCAGTATTTTCAGAGTAGTTACAGGAAAGCTGTCTAATTGCAAAGCATTATAAAAATATTAACTGGACTATTAAAGTTCCACATTAGTTCCATTTCTAGCTGTGGCAAAGCGCAGGTCTGCCTCTAGCTTACCTGGGGCCCTTGCTCACTGCAGGTGCCAGGCCAGCAGCTGGAGAGGACATTTGTGTAGGATAGTCTATAGCCATGTTAGGTGTTCACCTCAGTTCTTTCTTTAAAAAGGAGAAGGTACAGAACAGAGATAATGGAAATAATATAACAAATTTTAAAATAATACCCGTGGCTTAATCAATATTTTCTGTTGAGGAATGAAAAAAAAAATGGCAAAAATACAGACCACGTTAAAAAATGTGTTTTTTAAAATGAGTATTCATTTTGGGTTACCTAGCTTCGTCCTTCATAAGAAAATTTGAGAACTTTAAAAGGTGGAACAAGACACTTCCTAACATGAAATGGCCAACTGTAATAATTGACGCTTTATTGTGGACAATCTTGTTTATGCCGCTAGTGCTCACTTGGCTAAACGCCTTAATGAACATGGGTAGTTTTCACCTAGAAGATAAGAAAACATGCCTAAGAAATGACTAGAAATGCTATTTATTGCCCTCTGATAAATGAAAATTCACTCTCATTCTTAAAATTTCATATCAAAATTAGCTAGTTCTTAGGTATACACACACCAGTAATCTATTGAATTAGATATTAATATACCATTTAAATTGGGTCCAGAAAGATGACACGTTGAAAGATCACTCCAAAAATCATTCCATTAGCGTTTTCTTGGTAACAGATAGTAAAATACATGCTTATGCTGTGAGTAAATTAAGCTGTGGATTTTTATGTTTTTCAAAATGATTTTGTTAGTTTGAAAACCTAAGTTATCATTGCACTTGAGTTCTTTTTCTTTTAACTTATTTTTCTTTATTATATGAAAAAACTTTTAAAGTACTGTAACTTCTGAATTTTCAATAAAATGCACTTATTTTGCTTGCAAATGCCTTTTTAAATGAATTTGTCTTTTATAAGGTTAAATGCTATTGACAAGTATCATAAGCTGAATATGGCACTTGTATTATATTCTCATCATAACATTTTAATCAGTCTTTGTGGTTAATTCTTTGTCATGTGTGATCTTCAGCGCTGGAAATTGGTATTATGTACCTCTAAGATTTGCGAGCAGAAATTGATGAGAAATGAAGGGACATACTCAGAACCGTGACCTGAACTTCCTACAGAGTAAACGCAGAATGAACAGTCCGCTGCTGCTGCCTCTGTGGTTTAATGTCCTGTTCTCTTTAGGTCGAGAATATGTATCACTTACACTTTTTTGCTTGCATTGTGCCAGCTCCCCATATCAAAGATCCTGAAGATATTTATACCTTTAATAGTAATCCTGCACTTGTGAGGATTACATTAGGTAAAAGCACGCCATAGTGCATCAGAAGAGAAACATCAGCAACATTATGCTTTAGTAGTGAGAACTTGGAAACAACCTACATATTCAGTAATATGGAAAACAATAAGGAAATCATAAATTGTGATATATTCACCTAGGATACAATGAAGATTGCATTAATTACACTATCATTATACTGAAGATTAATAATTTTGGAAAGAATAAATACATAAAATTTTTAATTGCAGCTCTGTAAAAATAATGCTTTTGAACTTAGACAAGACAGATAGTGGAACCACAGTGTTAGGGAAAAAGGTGGGTTTTACTATTTTTAAATGGATAGTAAAGGGAGGGTTGTGAGAGAAATAAAGAGGAATAAAGTTATAAAACCTTAGTAGGAGTACATGCTCTTAGCAAGGACCAGAAGGACGAAGACCATAAACATACAGTAGGGATAGAATGAGGTACAGAGAGAGAGAAATGCAATGAAAGCCCCGTAGAATACTTGCTGAAGGAAAACATGAAATATGACCACTTTGTAAAATTAATTTTAGGTTTTTTAACGCAAAAGATTTAGAGTGGTGGCTCTAACATATGCACCGTGGCCTCAAGATTTTGCACATAAATTGACGGGGTTCACATGTCAAAGGACTGGTTTGATTTGAAGTTTCCTTTTAAGTGTAAATTTGTTGGAAGGCTTAAAATGGCAGGAGGGAATCAGGTCTTTTGGTCTTCAGAATTTTCTGGTGCCATGAAGCACAGAACTCACTGGTACCAGATGGCAGAATGCTCCTCAAACGAAAGCTGAAACATTAGTCTTGCCAAGGAATTAGGGAGTAATTTCGTTTTCCTCCATCCTGGATCTTGATCTGGGTTAAAGAATGAGGAGTGAACACAGGACTCCCCCTGCCCCCTACACACATCCTGCCTAATCTGCACTAAGCAGAGAGGAAAGGGGAGTCGAGTGTTGATCACGCTGCACAGGTCTAGAGCAGAACAAGAACGTAAACCAAAAAAAAAAAAACAAAAAACAAAAAAAAAAACTGGACAGTGCAGAAGGAGAGCCTTCAGATCACAGACCCACAGGTTCTTAGGTGGAGCTCTTCACAGTGCTCTAAAGCGCAGAGAATAGGTACTAGGAAATTGGAAATCATCACTCTCCTACCTTAAATCTTCTCTCCTTCCCCAATCTCAACTATTCAGAGACCACACTCCTTAATGTGGTTCACCAGCAGGTCTCCCTGCCTCCCCTACAAGTTACAGTAACCCCCACGTGCTGGTTGCCCCACAAACATGCAGCACGTATTCTGTTTCCACCTGCACGACTCCACCACGTCATGCTGATACAGTTTCCTTCTACTTCCACCACTGTGTTTTCCTGGCCAACACTTAGCTACCGGTAAGACTCAGTCTGTGTGTCTCTTCTATCAGCAAGCCTTCCTATCCATCCTCTCCCCTGTCCAACGTGAGTTGTGTCTTCTGTCACGCTAGCAAATGACCTTGGGATTATTATCACACTTTCCACATGGTTTGATAGTCCAGTGTCTCTCCACTACCCTGGGGGTTCTATAAGTATGCTATATGTATTCATTGTTTGGTTTCTTCTCTGCTCACCCTTAGAGAATATAAGCTCCTCGAAGGAGGTGATTTTGTTAGT